CTCCTCTGGCCGTCTGGGAGGCGCACGCCCCCTATAGCAAAAACCCCTCCAAAAAAAAAAAAAAAAAAAAGAACTCAGAGGATAGAGCTAAGACTATCTGTGAGGTAACTCAAAGTGTGGGGCCTGGTACAAAGGTGGGGCTATTTGGGTCAGAATTATCTAACTCGAACGCTGCAGCAAAATAAGTAGTCTCCATGTGTCTTAAGAACAGTGTATAGGGGTGTGCACAGACACCATTTTAAAGGAAGAAAAGCTTCTGAGCCTAAGAGAAGAACTAGTTAAGAAAAGTGGGTGAGCAAGTAGCTTGGAGTTTAAGGCACTGGATCCCACATGACAGACTTCCTCGTTCAAGTCTCAGACCAGGTAGCTTGAAAAATCACGCCAGCTACTCACTGATAGAGCAATCACATTCTGATAGGTCACATCTACGTAAGTTACTCAAAAGCATTCGGAAATGCCATTGTGCAGGGGCCAGCAGGTGACATCGTGGTTAAGGTAGCTGGACTCCTACATGGCTGACCATGGTTCGAGTCCTGGACCTGGCAGCTTGCTTTCTCACTTTGGTTCTCTCTGTCTCTCGCTGGTCAACTTCAATAAAATAAATTAATGACAATGAATAAAATTAAGTAATACTGTTAAAAAAAAAAAAAAGAAGAAATGCCATGTGCATACTTAACTTGGCTCTACATAAGCAAGACTATTCTGTCTCTATAGTAACCGAACTTAATTGTTCTCCCCTGGAAAAGTATCTGTATTATACATGACAAAAAGAGTTACTGAGGGAGCCAGCAGTTAGCGTAATGGCTATGTCGCTGGACTCCCACGTAGTCGACATCCGTTCGAGTCCCAGACCCGGTGGCTTAAATCTCACGCCGGGCGCATGTGCGTGTGTGCCCAAGATCCCGAGAGGAGAATGGAGGAGAAGGGATTGCGGCGTGACCATCCCCCCTGGGGTGTGATTTCTCGCTTTCTGTCTCTATGTCTCTCTCTGTCTGTCTGGTGAGCGCACGCGCCCTATAGCAAAAACCTCTCCAAAAAAAAAAAGAGTTACTGAGACCCACTCCATAGATAAAATGAACAGTCCAGGGGATGAGGAGGCATCTTTTTTAGAACTAAGAAAGATTTGTTGGACACTGGCTACATTCTAGTTTGATCTTGCTCATCAAATCATGGAACCAGAGTTGGGGTTAAGCAAATTAAAAAAAAAAAAAAAGTTGTTGAAAACATCTCAGAGGCCACTGAATAATTTTTAAGTTCCACTTAAGATGCCAGGTTATGTAACAGCTCAACAGTGTTATCAATTATCAAGGACCCAGTTTCTTTCTGCCCTTCTTTTTGGGATCCTTACCTTGTTGTCTTTTTGTCCTCATGGTTCCCTCAGATATACAATATGGTTTGTTTCGTGCCAGACGTTTCATTCCCAACCAAAGGCTGGAAGCAGGGAGCAAAAGGCTTTCTCCTTTCAACTGTTTCTTTTATTTGAGTAAAATCTTTTCCAAAAGTCCTCAGACGATTTCTTCTTAGATCTCATTAGGAGGTACTGGTTTACAAGAAAGCCTAGGAAAGCTGGGCAGAGGATGAGGTGGGCATTGCCTGTGGGGCACTGCCTCTTCTAACAGAATGAGCTCTCTCAGGAGGAAAGGGGGATGAGGGGCTGTTGGTGTGCACAAGCATGCCTGCCACATAACGAAATCTAAAGCCACCTGCTAAGTCTGTAGGAAGAATGTACCCTGGAGGTCCTGTATCTGCCTATGTCGAACATGATGGAGGTTCTCTTCCGTTGTATTGCTGAATAAAACTGTGGACTGCTTTTAAAAAAGAAGAAAAGAAAATCATGCCAGGCACACGTGTGTGTGTGTGCCCAAAATCCCAAGAGAAGAATGGAGAAAGGTCTTAAAACACAGTCTAGGGACCAGCGGATGGTGCAATGGCTACGTTGCTGGACTCCCATGTAGTCGACCACAGTTCGAGTCCCAGATCCAGTGGCTTAAACTCATGCCAGGCGCATGTGCGTGCATGTGTGCCCAAGATCCCGAGAGGAGAAGGGAGAAGAAGGGATTGCGGCATGGCCATCCCCCCCCCCCACCCAGGGGTGATTTTTCGCTCCCCCCCACCCAGGGCTGAGTTTTCGCTTTCTGTCTCTCTGTCTCTGTCTTTTTGGTGAGTGCACGTGCCCTGTAGCAAAAACCTCTCAAAAAACAAAAAACATTGGGACCAGCAGTTGGCATAATGGCTATGTCGCTGGACTCCCATGTAGTCGACTGCGGTTCGAGTCCCGGACCCGGTGGCTTAAACTCACACCAGGTGCGTGTGCGTGTGTGCCCAAGATCCCGAGAAGAAAATGAAGGAGAAGGGACTGCGGTGTGGCCAACCCCCCTGGGGGGGGGTGATTTCTCGCTTTCTGTCTCTCTCTGTCTGTCTGCTGAGCGCACGCACCCTATCGCAAAAACCTCTCCAAAAGAAAAGAAAAGAAAGCCAAACCCACACATTCTACATTCTCGTTGAAGATCCAGATTTGGCAGTTATCAGGGATTTGGAATAGGTACAGTGTCAATTAATGATACTATCCAGAGAAAGCATATATACGAAACAACAGGCCAAGCCATGTGGTAGCACAACTCTGTAATGCTGGAAGTCACATGGAAGACTGACACTTGGTTCCCAGTACACACCAGGCACACCAGTACACACCAGTACACACCAGTACACACCAGGCACATGTGCACATGCCCATGACTCTAGCTGGCTGGGAAAGGCTAGGAGGAATGGTGGCATGGGACCCTATTGAGTATACTTGTCTCTGCTTCAAAGGAAACAGATAAACTTAAAAAAAAAAAAAAAAAAAGCCTGGGGGTACAGTCTGTAGCAAAATGATCTGCAGTGCGGGAAGCCATAATGACTGTGGGTTTGTATCACTCAGTCAGCCAGAAAACACTGGGGGTGCGTGTGCACGTACCCAAGAACCTGGTGAACTGAGGAACTGGGGAAAGAAGAGGCAGTGTGACAAGACTTTGTTAAGGGTGCCTCTCTTTTCTCTCTCTCACTCATGCATGCATGCTCTCTATCATGAATACACTTTAAAAATGAAGTTCAAGGGGCCAGCAAGTGGCATGGTGGTTAAAGGTGCTGGACTCCCACATGGCCGACCACGGTTCAAGTCTCAGACCTGGTGGCTTGCTTTCTCACTTCCTCTCTTTCTCTCTATCTCTAATCAAACTGGAAAATAATAATGATAATAAATGAAAAAAAAAGTTAAATAAAATAATTCTTTAAAAAAAATGAAGTTCATAAAAACAATCGAAGAATTTGGTCTCTCAAGGGCAGAGACAGAATTTTAACCCACAATATAGGAAAATGAACTGGATTTGAGTCTTGACACAAATGCACCAATGATAAAGCAACTGGCATAACCCGGAAGGTGAGAATGAGTACTAGAGCAATGGAGAAGAGGCAATTTTAGAGGCAGAATGTGCTGGTTTCCTGATCAGCTAAATGTGGATGAAAGAACATCACAGATGAGATTCTACCTTGGGTGACTGTGGAGTGGTTCCATTAACCAAAACAGAGCACTAAGAAAGTAGGGATTGGGGGACCAGCAGTAGTGTAATGGCTATGTCACTGGACTCCCATGTAGTCAACCACGATTCGAGTCCCGGACCCAGTGGCTTAAAATCACACCAGGTGCGTGTGCATGCGTGCCCAAGATCCTGAGAGGAGGATGGAGGAGAAGGGATTGCGGTGTGGCCATCCACCCTGGAGGGTGATTTCTTGCTTTCTGTTTCTCTCTCTGTCTTTCTGGTGAGCACATGCGCCCTATAACAAAAACCTCTCAAAAAAAAAAAAGAAGAAGAAAATAGGGATTGGTGTTAGATTTGCAGGGTAAGTAAGAGAATGTTTCATTCTGAGCCTACCTAATCTAACATACCTACAAAAAAGCATGCAGATGGAGACATCTAAGAGACAGCAAGGACTCTGTTAGAGCTAGAGAACCAGATTTGGTGGTCATCAGGGACTGGGGAGAGTTGTAATCATGTCAGTGAATGACACTGTCTAGGAAAAGAATGTGTAAGGAACAAGAGGGAGGCTGGCTCCATGGCCTGGTAGTTACAGCAACCAGATCCTACATGACTAACTGAAGGTTTGAGTCCCAGACTCAGCAGCTAGAGAAACATGTTAGGTGTGTATGCATTTGTTCCCAACATCCCAAATGGAGGGAGAGAGGGGGAAGAAGGAACTGTGGTGTGACCACAGCCTTTAGGGATGGATGGGTGCTTCTCCCTCTCTCTCTGACTCTTCAGTGAGCACACATACTTCTAGTGCCAATAAAAGAGAAAAAGAAATGAGAAAAATTGTCAAAAACGGAGGTTGATAAGCAGGAGAAATCAGGATATAGAGTTAAGAAAAAGGGTTTCAAGAAGGAAATAGTTAACGTTGCCAAATGTCATGGACATTAAGACAAAGCTATTAGTTTTGGCAATCGGTCAAGAGTGCAGTTAGAGAACAGTGACGGCTGTAGGTCAAACTGAGGTGGATTAGGTAATAAATGGGAGTGAAGGGTGGGTGACTCAAGAAATATGTTGTTAAAGGAAGAGGAAGAAAGGTTGGGAGCAAAGATAAAGCTTTAAGAAAGGGAGCCAGGGTCACTATAAGGCTTTGCTTTTTTAGATGGAAGAACAAAACTATTTTTGGAGGAAGGAAGAAAGATTAATTTCCAAAAAGGAGAGGGATAGGTGGTCATCCAAAGTTAGTTAGGGTTCAGAGAAAGTGGAAGCAGGTGGCGTCAGAGCATAAAGTTAGAACCTGGGACAGACATTCCTGACTCTGAGAATAAAGTTCAAGGAAGGCAGTGAGGAGGAATGGGGGTGTATATTGGGTTTGGAAACAGAAGAAAATGAAGCTGAGAAAGTACAGCTCTTTTCTGCCCTCCTTCTTTCCTTCTTTCTCTCTCTTCTTTAGGCTCAGACAACAATCAAAAGAAAGGGGCAACAGGGCCAGCAGGTGGCATGGTGGTTAAGGCACTAGATTCCCCCATGGCCAACCACACTTCAGGTTCCAGACCCAGCAGCTTGAAGATCATGCTGGATGCATGTGCATGCATGCCCAAAAAGCCCAAGAGGAGAGTGGAGGAGAAGGGACTGTGGCATGGCCATCCCCTGATTTCTCACCTTCCTTCTCTTTCTCTCTCTCCATTGAGTACACAAGACCTTTAACAAAAACCTAAAAAGAAAGAAAGAAAAAGAAAAGGGCAGGGCTGAAGATAGGCTCTTTGATCTCCTGAGATCCCAGATGCCTAAGCACAAATTTCTCTTTAAGGCAAAAAAAGAGAAAGTTACATGCAAATCAGTTCCCATGAACCAGCCAGGCAGTATATGCATTTCAGCTTGAGTTCAAATTAATTTAGCCCCTACACATCAAAACATTTGCTAAATTAATGAATGTGGGGGAAAACATTCTAGGGAGAGGTCATAGTACATACAAAGGCAGAGTGGTCGGTAAGGTCTGGGAAAATCAATGACTTATTCACATGAAATAGGAAAGAGCTAATAACAATACAAGGAACTGTAACAACAGATGTAAAAATAAGTATGACATTAACACCTAGCTGATACAAATATAAATCAGCGCAACACCCTTAAAAAACAATCTTAAGAATTAAACATTTAGGCCTTTTGAGCCGCTCTGTCCTCTGAGGCCGGTTCCAACCTCTCAGGAGTGTACTTTTACTTAATAAATTATCTTTTCTTTACACTATTTGCATATTTCATTCAATTCTTTGTCCAAAACACCAAGAACCTGGCTAAGATCGTAGAAGCCACCCCACAGCATGCACAGTGGTGAGCCAGCCAGGAGAGAACAACTAGACCTGAACCATCCAGAGAAGACCGTATGTGGTGTTAACTCCTGTGAAACACTTGTCCAGGATACCACTCTCCTGGACCGCTGATGTTGCCAGCTCCCTGTTCCTGTAACACGATTTGTGTATGTGGGAAACTATCGAATTATACCTAAAGTAGAATTATTGTGTCCAAGTGTAAGTTTATTGAATTTTTCAATATGTATTGCCAAATGCACACCACAAAATGCTAAGCCAATTTTTATTAAAACCAACAGGAAAAGAGTTTGTTTCCCCAAGGTGCTCTGGCATGTATGAGTCAACCGGAGAACTGAACCCTGATCTTCCATCATTACAGAGTGTTGTGCTACTGCTGAGCCACTGTGGCTGGGTGTTTTTAACTACTTCCCCTCCCATTTTAAATGTAAATAAAAAAATTAAACTTAAAAAAGAAACATTTTAAAAAATGTGTAATAGAAAGTGCAAGCCCATCATCAAGACAACCAAGTTTCTAATATATTGTTCCAGACATTTCCTTATTTATAAAGTAGCAAATAGTATTTTTACAAAAATTAAATACCTTGCTGCTCTACAGCCTAATTTTTTCATGTTACCAATTTTTCACCACCACAAATACTATTACAATAAGTATTTTCATATATGTATATAAATATAGATCTGCCCACAGATGTGTGTTTCTGGAGATAAATTTTAGAAATGGAAGTAACAGGTTAGAGTATGAACACTGTAATTTTAATAGATATTACCAGTCTAAATTGGACTTCATCCAAAAAATCTCTCAATAGAGGTTCATGCCATAATACCAACAAGAAGGGGTTTAGATACACAGCCCTCTAACTCTGACTAAATTCAGAAAGACATTTTAGAGGACCTATGCACGTCATGCAGGGCATTTTCCCCAAGCAATCCTCCACCATTATTTTCGTTAAATAAGCTTTCTTCTCCCAACAAATGTAATTATAAGTACTCATTCACAAAAGTATCAAACACAA